CCTGCGTTCCCGCCGCCCTTCCCCGCCAACTGAGCAACCGTCGCAACTTTCGTGGCCTCCTGGAGACCTCGCGGGCACCTGGGAGACTGCGAAACTCTGCAACTGTCGCCACTTTCGTGGGTTCTTGGGAGGTCCAGCGGAGCACATTGTCCTGGCAACGTGTTATGTTGCGTGGAGCGTCCATATGAAAGTCGCCTCGCGTGGAGAAGCGGTTGGGTTCATTTCGTGTCTGCTGCCTCCCGAGTACTGCCTCCATTGTACTTCCTGCTCGGAAGCCCGCCACGTCAAGAAAAAAACAACCTGGGGGGCGCTCAAGTTCTTGACCGCTCTGAGGCTCACCAGAAGTCCAAAGGGGACGCCACCGCGCGGCCAGGAGAGCCCAAAAGGCCTCGAAGATGGCACCAGGAGGCCGGAAGACAGCCTCAAGAGCTCGAGAGAGCCAAAGCGGGCCGCAAGACGCCCCACATACGTCACAAAGGGGCTAGAAGAGGACACCTATCAGGGCTTCTTGGGGCCCGAATCATTGATGCCATTATTTTGCAACTTGATTTTGGTATTCTCTCCTTTTCGGGCTTCCGACAGCCCAAGACGACCCAAGATACCTCCAAGATGGCTCCAGAGACCCCCAATAGAAACCCAAGGAGCCCCCAAAATGCTGAAGAGGCCCCCGAGACGGCCCAGGAGATCCGCAAGACGACGTTAGAGGGCCCTCAGAGACCCCAAGGCAGCCAAGAGGGGCCTAATACGGACCAAGACAGCCCATGAGAGCCCCGAGAGACCCCCAAACCTCTAAGAAAAAAACAATATATCCCCAACGAATCCACAAAGGCCCCCTGGAAGCCCCCAGGAGGGCACCAAGTGGGCCTCAAGAGAAAGAGAGAGAGGAGGGGGAGGAGGGCGATGGGGGATGAGGAGGAGGAGGAGGAGGGGGAGGAGGAGGAGGAGGAGGAGGAGGCGGAGGAAGGGGGGGGAGGAGGGGGGGGGGAGGAGTAAGAAGGAGGGAGGAGGAGGAGCAGGAGGAGGAGGAGGCAGGAGGAGGGGGAGGCGGAGGAGGGGGATGGTGGAGAGGAGAGGAGGAGGAGGAGGAGGAGGAGGAGGAGGGAGGCCAGAGTAACATCGCCACGCACCCCCTCCCCACTAGGCCCTGAAGAGGGCCACATGGGCGCGGCGACATGGGCCACGTCAAGGCAAGGTCCCGCGGGCTGCAAGGGCGCGCGAGCGTTCGAGGGTGGTAGAGGGGAGGCGCAGGGCGGAGGGGAGGCGCAGGGTCAGAGGGGTGGAGGGGGGCAAAGAACGAAGGGAGTGACAAACATGGTGAGCGACATGAGTTTCTTCGAGCACGGCGATGGGGGGGGGGGGGGGGGGGGCAGCAGGGCCGCGCGGATGGACCCCCAATCGACATTCATGATGCGCTCTCTACGCCCAGGCCACCACTTCAGAAGACGCTGCTGGTAGTGAACTTCAAGGGCGGATGAGGGGAGGGGAGACAGGCACGTGAGCTTGGCCGCACCCTGGTGCTTGCGCGGAGCGGCTCGGCAGGCAGCAGCCGCGGTGGCAGGAAGAGTGCCGTCAGCGCTGGGCTCCGCCTCAAAAAGCATCTCGGCGAAATAGGGGCACCGCCAATGAGGGGGATACCGACGGCCAGCAGGAAGAACGGTAAGGCGACACTGATCGAGTTCACGAGACTGGGGCGTGTCGGTCTGGCGCACCAGGAAATCGAAAACCTTTCTGTGCCCAGGAATAGGCGCGGTCGCCATGCGAGCCCTGGCCGCGGCGCGCAAAACCTCGAGCGGGCAAACGTTGGGCCCGTGCAGTTTTTCAGCTGAGCCCAGTCCCGGCCTCGATAAGCTCCCAGCGGCAGCCGAAAATCCTGCGCAAGAGCTCCGCGCCCAGCAGCGCGGAGGTCAGCTGGCGGAGGAAGGAACTGCATGACGTAGCTCAACGCAGGCGCGCAGCGAGCATTGACTAAAACAGCAGACGACAAGGCGGGCGTGCTCCCAGCACCCACCGCAGACGCTCGCGCCATGAACTTCTCCCGCGGAAGTGACCAGGAATCAGCAAGAACCGTGGCAGGCCCGATCCATAGGCCCAGGTAAATGAGCTTGGACTCCACCCAGAGGTCACACCATTCAGGGATGAACGTCTTCAAGAAATCCGGAATCACGGTGAAGGGGCCCGAGACAGGAGACAGAACACACTTAGAGGCTTTCAGCCGTCGGTTACCGTCACTTCCACGATCTTCATCGCCCGGTGCAGCGGCAACAAAAGACGCAGATCATCGATGGCACCGCCGAGATTATCAGCACAGGCGCGTTTGATACCACGTCGGGGAACCTCGAAAGAACGGCAGAGGTCACGAAGAGCTGGCGACAGGGCGGCGGCGAACAGCGACCCCGAAAGTGCACAGCCCTGAATAATGCCCGAGCGAATCCAAAAAGCGTGCATCAGCGAGCCCTGGACGGAGACGACCCCCGCGATACCCTTGTAGAGGATCGGCGCGAAAGAGAGGAGCTGGGAAGGGAACCCCATCTTGCGCAGTACCGATAGCACGAACTCCTGGTTAAGGCTCGGAAATGCCCGGCCATAGTCGCACAGCAGCGGGCAGCGGTGATCAGCTTCGGGCCGGGCCGAGTGCACGCGAGACAGAGCGCCCACGCCCGCCAGGTTCTGGCAAAAATTCCCCCCCTTCATGAACCCCCTCTGGTCTGGTGGAACAAAACGAGCAAGCGGCTTGCAAAAAAAGCAACGTTAACCGTGGCCGTGAGCAACTTGATGCTAGTGCTGCGCAGGCCGAGCACACGAACAGCAGACGCCTTCCGTTCACATCCTCCCTCCCGCGTGTCAGAATCGAAAGTGCCCTTCGGCAGAAAGGCCTGCGAGGTGTTATTCTCAGCCGAGTATATCCCATTCCCCTCCATCATCCACCAGAGAGCGCCATGCAGTGTAAGAAGGCCAAACGGATGAGCAAGCCACGCGGCGCATCAGAGGCGGTCCACGCCAGGAGCAGAATCACTGTCACGAAGTGCAACTCTCTTCAACAGCGCGAACGACGGCGGCGGGCAATCGGAAAAGTCGACGGTCTGAACGAAGCGGTCGCAATACGCGTTGGCAGCTTTGGCGGCCCAGGGTTGACGAGCAAAGACAGGGCCCCAATGAGAGACCAAAGCTTCGCGACGATCTTGCAGACCTGAAAAGCTCTGACCACGGACGACGACGGCTCGAAGAGTACGACGGCGGGCGAACGGCGCCGAGACCCTGGCCCTCCCGTCAATAGCCCGAAGCACCTGACGTTCTTTATGCCGAGCACCCCCTCCCTCAGCGCGTTCGAGGCGAGACCGAGCAGCGGCGAGATCGAGGTCCGACGCCTTCAGTTGCACCTCGTTGGGCCAGCGCTGGAAGGCAGCAGGGTGGACGAGCACGACCCCCGAGCCCTCCGCGCAAATTCGCCGGCCCAACGGGCCAGAGGCGTGCTAAGATCTCCGGTAACTGGTTAACAATTTTCTAGTTCGCGCGCGCGGGGCGGCCCCTGGGGGTCCCCGGACGAAAAGTACCCCGACCAGGTCCCGGCCGGTCCCCGGCCGGGTCCCGGCCGGGTCCCGGCCGGGTCCCGGCCGGGCCCCCCCGAGCGCTCCATGAGCGCACCAACAGGGCTCCGAGACGTCCCCGAGAGCCCCAAGAAAGGCCAAGAGGCCCCCAAGAGGCCCCCAAGATGGTACACGAGGGGTCCGACATGCCACAAGATCGCTCCAAGACGCCCAAGATAGCCCCCAGACGCCCCAAGAGGCCTCCAAGAGCACTCCCAAGAGGGCCCCCGGAGGCAAAATTCATTGTTTTTCCTTAGGTTTTTGAGAGATTTTGGAGCTTCCACCTTTTCGGTTCCCGACGCCCCAAGACGGCCCAGAGGCCCCCAAGATCGCCCCAAGAGGGCCCAAGAGGCACCCAAGAGGGCCCCAAGATGGCCCAAGAGGGCTCGAAGACGGCCCAAGAAGCCTCCAAAACGGTCCAAGAGGGCCCCAAGAACGCCCCCAAAGGGGCCCCAGAGAGGGAACACGAAACAACATTTCGAGCCCTCGGCCCTAAGAAGCCCCTACGAGGCCCCTAAGAGGCCCCAAGAGGCCCCCACGGGGCCCTCAGGAGGCCCCCAAGAGTCCCCCAAGCGGCCCCAGGAGGCCCCCCAAATGCCCCCCCGAGCGCCCCAGGAGTCCCCCAAGCGGCCCCAGGAACCCCCAAAGCGCCGCATTGACACCAGGCCCTCGGGCAAACGGCAGACATGAGACTGTATGGGCCGGCGGAATGAGCGAAGCGATTAAATAAAATCAGCAGCGGCAGCATGCGAACGAAGAAGACGAGAGGCGGTCGGCACGTCCTGGCGCCAAATAGCGCGCGCTATAGAGCGAGCCAGAAGCAGCGGCGCGCGCGGGTCCGTCGGGCGGCGAAACATCGAGACACCCCTTGTTTCCCTGCTCGCTTCCTGCAGCAACTCCTTGTATCGCTCGAGCCTTCTCGGCGGACACATCGCTTGCAAGTCCGTAGATTCAGCTTCAACAAAGGCGGCCAGTAACTGTTTATATCCTTTTGTTTGGCAAAGATGTTTAGGGGTGGGGCGCCCAGTGGGCTCTTGAGGCTTACGGTGACCAAAGGAGACGCACAAGGCGGCGTGGTCACTGATCTTCGCCCGATGGAGGACCTCCGGAGACCCTTCAACATAAGCCTGCGAATGCACTTGGGCGAGCACCCAGCCAGGCCCGCCGCGCCAGAACCTGTCAACGGCAGCAACAGCGTTGCATGGCGCATCGAAGTGGGCGGCCTCAAGAGGGGTGACCTCGACAAGGGGGTCGAGAGCAGCCGCCCAGCGCGGCGCTTGTGCGTGCGAGGGGCGGGCCGCCCGCTGGGCCTGAGCCTCCAATGGCCGCGAGAAGCTCAGTTTTTCCTCGCCCGCGAAGTTGAAATCGCCACGCACAACTCGCAGCGCAGATTCAGGCGAGGATTCCGAAAAGGGCCCGGTCCCGAGTTATTTGACTGCGCACATCGCTTACTTGTCCCGAAGATAAACCATGGTTGCGAATGCTGTAATGAATTGAAGTGGTGTCCTGATTTTGCAGAGCGACACGGATGACGCGACCAGGGGCGAGCACTTGCAAGGAAGAGGTGACGCCAGCAGGCAGCGTCGGCGAGGAGGCGCCTCGCGACAAAATACCAGGAACGACAATGGCGACGCCGCCGCGCATCCGCCCCGCACGGTCAGCGCCACAAAAGATGGAAAACATAGCAGCCTCGGGCAACGCACGGCGTAGGAAGGCAGCTAGTTGGGCCTCGCACTGGTGGGCCTCCTGGAGGGCGGTGACAGAAGAGCCCAGTCGGAGCCTCTGGAGGCGCCCCAATTTAACATCAACGTGGGCACCTTCAAATTGGAGGAGGGCTCTCGTGTTCCACGAGACGAATCGAGGGCTACTGGCTGCAGTGGCGTCGCACAAAAATTGGACGGTCGAGCGTCCAACCAGAGCAGCGAAACGGCTAAAGGCACCACTCAGGCTCACGCTCAGGTTCGATGATATCCTTGATCGCCTCGACGAGCTTGTCCTTCGGCACCGAGTACTTGTTGATCGTGCCTGGGCTCCAGAACACACGAGTCGGTTCACGGCAGGGGAAGCACTCGAGCTCGCACAACGCGCCCCAGCCCAGCGACAGCCCGCCACGATCCCGATCGAAGAAGACGCGCTGATTAGCACCGTACAGCTCCACGAACTTGTTGCGCATCTTCCTGCCGATGACCTCCGTCTTGATATGCTTCGCATTCTTGTCATGGGACAGGCGTAGCCTGGTCTGGCCGCCAGCGTGCGCGTCCACGTTGAACGCGCGCCACGTGTTGCCAACGCGCAGCGAGGCCAGCAGCTTCTGGACCCGTCGCGTGGCCAGGCCGACGGCGCCCTTGAGCTTGATGGTGAAGTACTTCGAGAGAGGGCCTGCAGCTGTGAGCTCCCATTGCTCGGTGGTGATGCTGGACTCCTCAAGCCAGGGGGCCAGCACCTCGTGGACGGCGGTCTTGGCGACGAGCTTGCCCGCGAAGACCTTGATGATCGTCTCATCGGTGTCGCGCGTGAAGGTGTCCGAGCCTGCAACAGGACGAGGAGCTGGCGTCGCAGAGTTGGCGACGGCGAAGGCACTCTGCAGCTGCTTGATCCGCTCCTGCATTTCACGAAGTAGTTTGTCTTGCTCATCCACACGGCTGTCGACCTGCATGATTTCCACTTTGAGGCTGTCGCACCGGGTGTTGAGCTCGCGCCTGACATCATCGATCTTCAGCGTGACGGCAGCAACGATCTGGGCGTCCAGCTTCGAGGGCAGCGCATCAAGGTCGGCCTTGCACTTGCTGAAGCACTCGTCCAAGTTGGAGGCGAGGGACTGCTGGATGGTAGTAGCCTCGGCCTTGACGGTGGACGTGACGCAGTCACCGATGTGCGTGTTGAGCGCGGAGTGGTACTTGGCCGTCTCCGCACTGAGCTGCTCGGCAACCATCACGCAGATGTGCTCAGGGTAGACCTCCATTTCGCCATCGGTGTCGTCCATGTCCAGGGCGATGGCTGCAGGGGAAGAGCTGCCGCCAGTAGCACCAAAGCCAGGAGGACGAACACGACGATGGAGCTTGACGAGCTTCTTGCCCTTGTCCATGGAGCTGCGGATGACACCAGCAGAAGGCGACGCTGGGGAGCGGCGCGCAGGCGAGACCGTGGCGGCATCGACCGTGGCCATGGGTGTGGAAGCGAAAGCAAGACAGGAGGAGGGGCCCAGGTCCTCCTATGAAGGCACGAATAGTGTCCGCCTTCGCGCCCAAGAATGCCCTCTCAGGGGAGGCTGCCCGCTCAAGAATCACTTGAGCTAAAATGGCAACGGAGGAGGAGGAGGAGGCGGAAGAAGATGCGGAGGAGGAACCCTGAGTAAAAAAGTGCTAGTCAGCAAGGGCCCCTAACAGTGATCTCTTCTTCAAACTATGCGACGCAAGCTGGGTGGCGGCGACAGGCGGCGACGAGCCAGCCAGGGCGGCACCGGAGCTCAGTTACCTTCGAATGCAAGTCGCACCCCTCCAAGTGCAAGCACAGCTTGGAGAATCAATTCAAGGGTCTTTTTCCAATCATTTGGTGGCCGACATGGGTCACAATGCATTCCAAGCTCCTGAGGGGCGCGATTCGTGTGAGGGGCGCCCCGACATGGGCCAGTGTGCGCTGGGGGCGCGGACCGAGCCCCCGGACGCCAGACGCCGGGCGCCGAGCTCCTGGGCCTGGGTCTCGGACGCAGGGCTCTGGATCGAGGACCCGGCTGCCCTGGGGTCTCGTGGGTCTGAAATCCGCTGGCGAGCGTTTTCGGGAGTTTCTCTGCGTCCGCCTGCCTCTGCGTTTCAACGCGTCGAGTGAACCAGAAGAGTATCCTTTCCACCGCCCCGCGTTGCCATGTGACGGTGGTAGTAAATTTGTATAGCGTTTCGCCCCTCTGCATTGCCATGTGAGGGGCAGAAAGGGATCGCATTTTTCCGACCCCCTGTATGGCCATGTGAAAGATCGACAATTGTACGTTCTCCGGCTCTTTGCATTGCCTCGAGGCGGGGACAGTGGGATGATATGTGTGCGCCTCCTCTGCGTTGCCTCGCGACGGAAGGATTACACATATACATATTTATATATGTATATAGATGTATACATCTGGATTCGTTTCGCCCCTCTGCACTGCCGCGTGGGGAGTAGTGGAATCGTATTTGTTCTGCCCCCCTGCCCTGCCGCGTGACGAATTTAAGAGTAGATTATTGTGTCTCGTCCCAGTTGCGTTGTCACGCGACGGGGAGTGGGATAATATGTGTTCGCCCCCATGTGTTGCCACGCACCGAACAGACTAGAATAGTATTTGTTCCAACCCTCTGCGTTGCCACGTGACGGATAGCACGGAGATGTATGTGTGTTCGCCCCTCTGCGTTGCCACGCGGTGGGCAGAGTGGAATCGCACTCGCTCGGTGGAAAGAGGGTCCGAGCAGATGGGGTCGGAGGGTCGCGAGGCATCGTCGATGCACCACCGACGCCTGCGGCGCGGTCTTCCGACCCCATATCTGCTCGGACCCCACCTGGGAGGCCCAGGGGTCCTCCTGGAAGTTGCAGCTCGGCCCTGAAAGCACGGAGGCGCAAGCCCCTTCCCACTTGGGTGCCCGAGGCCCGGGCGCTGGACTGGCCTTCGAAGCGTTCTCGCGCCACAGGGCGACGTTGTAAACGTCCTCCGCCTCCACGCAAATAACATCTTGCAACGACTGGCCCGTGCGTCTACAATGCAGAGGCGTGCTGACGAGAAGGAGGGGGAGAGGCAGGAACACCAGCAGCAACAGTAGCAGCAAGGACCGGATATGTTGAATGTGGGGGAGAGGCGGAAGCAACAGCGACAGCAGAAGCTAGAGCAACAACACAGCCACCACCAAGAACCAACACAATAATTCAATACCTTGTTCCGCTCGCGGAAAAGAAGCATCACCCCCTCCCGACAGCAGACATGCGACCGCTGACATGAACACATGCACACGAAACGATCCTTTTTCTTATACCGGGGGACGAACAGATAGCGGAAGTACAATTCCTCTATTTTTTGTGCCATCTGCCTGGCCCGCGCCCAAGGGAAAACAACCCCCACTCGGTGTGCCATCTGTCTGGCCCCCTTCAACGCGTCTTAGAATGATTCTCCCCCGTCGGGGCGTGTGCTATATGTCTGGTGCGCCCGCGGGAGGGGGGTCGTCTTGGAACCCTCTTGGGCCGTCTTTGGAACCTCTTGAGCAGTCATGAAGGCCATTTTGGTTTTCGCCCCGCGCCCCGTGCAGGGCCAGCGTCCGCGTAGTCATTGGATGCGTTCGTATGTAGGCCTCTTGGATGCTTCTCGGAGTCTTTTCGGATGTTTCTTGATAGCTTGTTGGGCGTAGGCCCCTTGGGACATCTTGGGGGCGTCTTGGCGGCCCCTGGGGCCTCTTGAAGCGTATTGTGCGTCCCGGGGGCGGCCCCTGGGGCCTTAGTGAGCTTAGCTCAGTGAATGACGCCCTGAAAGATCCTCTGGGGCTCTGGCCCGCGTTCGGATGCCGCCCCCCTCGCCCTCTTACAGGCGTGCTGCTGTTTCGTGGGTCTCTATCTTTGTTAGGACTCGAGGAGGAGGCGGAGGAGAAGGAGGGAGAAGAGGAGGATAAGGAGGAGGAGGAGGAGGTGAATCACGAGGAACACGAGAGCAGCAGGAGGAGGGCGAGGAGCACGAGGGGGGATACCATCCTCATGAAACAAATATTGTGGGCGGCTCCTGCCCCGCGTCGAGTGGGGAGGGGGAGCAGCACGAGGAGCAGCAGGAAAAAGAGGAGGAGGAGGAGGAACGATGAAACGGAGGAGGAGGAGGAGGAGGAGGAGGAGGAGGAGGAGGAGGAAACGAGGAGGCGGAGGAGGAAGAGGAGGAGGAGGAGGAGGAGGAGGAGGAGGAGCAAGGGCGTCCCCCCCTCGGGGCAGCGTGCTATCTGCCTGGTGCGCCCCCTCCCCTCGGTGCATCGCGAAATCGCTTGGGGCCGCCGCTCGAGACACCCTCACAACCGCGGCGCCGCCGCTCGGGGCATCCTCGCAACCGCGGCGCCGCCGCTCGAGACATCATCGCAGCCGCGGAGCTGCCGCTCGGGACACCCTCATTAGCGCGGCACCGCCGCTCGGGATATCCTCGCAGCCGCGGAGCCGCTGCTCGAGACATCCTCGCAACCGCGGGGCCGACGCCGCAACTCACTTGGACTCAATCACATCACTGCCTCCCTCGGACCCTGCGCCAGCGCCGCCGCTCGGAGCATCCTCGTGACCGCGGAGCCGTCGCTCGAGACATCCTCGCAACCGCGGGGCTGCCGCCGCAACTCACTCGGATTCAATCACATCACTCCCGCAGACCCTGCGCCAGACAGATCGGACGCGCCCAAGAAGAGGCAGGACGGGGGGGCGGGATAGCGCCGCCGCTCGAAACATCGTCGCAGCCGCGGAACACCCGCTCGAGGCATCCTCGCCACCGCGGCGCCGCCGCTCGGGGCATCCTCGTAACCGCGGCGTCGCTGCTCGAAACATCCTTACATCCGCAGCGCCGCCGCTCGAGACATCCTCACATCCGCGGCGCTGTCGCTCGAGACACCATCACAACTGCTGCACCGCAGCTCGGGGGGACATCTTCGCAGCCGCGGAGCCACCGCTGGAGACATCCTCACGACGGCGGCACCGCCGCTCGGGGCATCCTCGCAACCGCGGCGCCGCCGCTCGAGGCATCCTCACATCCGCGGCGCCGCCACTTGAGACACCCTCACAATTGCGGCACCGCCGCTCGGGACATCCTCGCAGCCGCGGAGCCGCCGCTGGAGACATCCTCGCAACCGCGGGGCCGCAGCCGCAACTCACTCGGAGTCAATCACATCACTGCCTCCCGCAGCCCCTGCGCCAGACAAATAGCACGCGCCCAAGAGGAGGCAGGGCGGGGGGGCGGGATGGCGCCGCCGCTCGAGACATCCTCGCCACCGCGGCGCCGCCGCTCGGGGCATCCTCGCAACCGCGCGCCGCCGCTCGAGACATCCGCACATCCGCGGTGCCTCCGCTGGAGACACCCTCGCAACCGCGGCGCCGCCGCTCGGGGCATCCTCGCAGCCGCGGCGCCGCCGCTCGAGACATCCTCACATCCGCGGCGCCGCCGCTCGGGGCATCCTCGCAGCCCCGGAGCCGCCGCCCCCCCCGCCCTGCCTCCTCTTGGGCGTGTGCTATCTGCTTGTCCCCCTCCACGTTGTCTCGATGGTCTGACCTCAGAGAGGACACGCGTGCTACCTGATATCGCGCGGTTAAGGGTCTGGAGGGTCATGAGTGCGATCTGCCCCGAACAGTTGTTTGTGCTATCTGTTCGTCCCCCAGTGCAAGTGATTCACCATTCTAGCTTCATGCTCTTATCTGTTGCACCCGCGGTGTGAATGAATCGTCGGTTCAGCTCTGCTGGAACTCCCACCACGTGCATTGCACGTGGCACATGTTCCCAGTCCTCCCAACCCCCATCCCCCCAACATGTTTGATCAGCGGCGAGCTGGATCCAGCAGAGGGCGGGGCGCGTCGGAAACGAGTTGGGCACAATACAAGGGGAAGGCAGGAGGAGAAGAGGGGGAGGGCCGCGAGCCCATCGTCCCAGCACACGATCCCGTCCACGTCTCTGGTGCCTTTCTACCCTTCGCCTGCGTCTCCTCATCCTTCCGCTCCCCCCACCCCTGTACCGACCTCCCCACTCCTCCTCTGCCTCTGCCTCCTCCTCCTCCTCCTCCTCCTCCGCCTCCTCCTCTTAATCCTCCTCCTGTTCCTGCTGTTCATCCTCCTTCTCTTCCTCTCCCAACTCCTGCCCCTCCCTTCCCCTCTCCTCCTCCTCCTCCTCCGTCTTCCCTTCCCGCGCCTCCTGATCCTCCTCCTCCTTTTTGACGTTGGCCATCGTACAAGCGAGGCTTGCAGCATTCTCCTGGCAGCAGACGCCAATAACAAATGTCGACTTAACGCAGCGGTGTGAACAAATTAGGCGGCAGGCCCGTGCGGATCAGGAGCTATAAAGAGTAAAAGCAAAAGCTGGGCGCCCAAGGGCTAGAGTAACAATGACTGCCGTCGATGTGAAAGATGGTGGGAGAAGAATCGACGAGTAACAATATCATTATGATAACCGCCATCCAAGGAGGATGCTAACGAGGGGAGATCGAGATAAGCATGTGTCTCAATGAAAGTAAAAAAGAGACAGGGGACGCAGAGTGTAAAGTAGGGATTCAATATCGAGTTTGTGATGAGTAATACCTGAGCTGATGGCATCTCTCTCGTACCCACCCATCCCCTCTAATGCCGAGACCCCCCATTCCCAGTATCAGCTTAGGCTTG